AAGGGGGAATGTGGACTGGTCTTGGGTCTAAAAATCCTTCTTGGAAGGATTTTAAAAGTCAAATAAGAGAAGCAGAGAAAAAAATTGGGCAGGGAAATGAGAGGTATACAAGGGAGAGTCAATAGCTTGGAAAAAGGACAAAAATTGACTATAGAAAACAAGTACTTAAAAAAATACAATTGGCCAAATGGAAAAAAGTACACTGAAGAAAACAAATCCTTAAATAATACAATTGGCCTTTACCTAAATTAATGTACTTAGTCAATGCCATACCAAACTACCAAAAAATTATTGTATAGAGCTAGAAAAAAAACAATGACAAAATTCTCCTGGAAGAACAAACAGCCACGAATATAAAGGGAACTAATGAAAAAAAAATGCAAGGGAAGGTGGTCTAGCTGTACCAGATCTTAAATTGTATTATAAAGCAGCAACCATCAAAACTACTTTGTACTGGCTAAGAAATAGAGTGGTGGATCAGTGGAATAGGTTAGGTACACAAGACACAGTAGTCAATAACTATACTAATCTACTATTTGATAAATCCAAAGACCCTAGCTTCTAGGATAAGAAGTCATTATTTAACAAAAACTGCTGGGAAAACCAGAAAATAGTATGGCAGAAACTAGGCACAAACTAACATCTAACACCCTAAACCAAGATAAAGTCAAAATGGGTACAAGATTTAGATATGAAGATTGATCCTACAAGCAAACTAGGAGAGCAAGTAATGGTTTACCTGTCAGATTTATGGAGAACAGAAGAATTTATGACTAAACAAGAGATAGAGAACATTATGAAATGCAAAATGGATGATTTTGATTATATTAAATTGAAAAGTCTTTGCACAAACTAACCCAATGCATCCAAGATTAGGAGACAAGCAGAAAACTGGGAAAGAATTTTTACAACCAGTGTCTCTGATAAAGGCCTCAATTCTAAAACGTATAGAGAATTGCATCAAATTTACAAGAGTACAAGTCATTCCCCAACTGATAAATGGTCAGAGGATATAAACAGGCAGTTTTCAGAGGAAGAAATTAAAGCTATCTATAGTCATATGAAAAAATGTTCTAAATCACTACTGATTAGAGAAATGCAAATCAAAACAACTCTGAGGTGCCACATCACACCTATCAGATTGGCCATCATGACAAAACAGGATAATGATAAAAGTTGGACAGGATGTGGGAAAACTGGAACACTGATGCATTGATGGTGGAGTTGTGAACTGATCCAACCATTCTGTAGAGCAATTTGGAACTATGCCCAAAGGGCTATAAAATTGTACATACCCTTTGGTCCAGCAATACCACTTCTAGGTCTGTATCCCAAAAAGAACATAAAAATGGGAAAATGACCCATATATACAAAAATATTTATAGCAGCTCTTTTTGTGGCAAAGAATTGGAAATTGAGGGGAGGCCCATCAACTGGGGAATGGCTGAACAAGTTGTAGTATATGAATGTAATAGAATACTACTATGCTATAAGAAATGATGAGCAGGTGGACTTCAGAAAAACCTGGAAAGACTTATATGAACTGAAGCTGAGTGAAATGAGCAGAACCAGGAGAACAATGTACACAGTAGCAGCTATACTGTGTGAGGACTAACTTTGATAGACATAGCTCATCTTAGCAATGCAAGCACCTAAGACAACTCCAAAAGACTCACAATGGAAAATGCTGTCCATATCCTGAAAAAGAACTATGGAGTCTGAATGCTGATGGAAGCATACTATTTGCTCTCTTTTTCCTTTGTTGTTTTGTTTTATTGCTTCATTCTCATAGTTCCTCCCATTAGTTCTAATTGTTCTTTACATCATGACTAATGGGAAAATATGCTTAATATGAATGTATAAGTAGAGCCTATATCAGATTGCATGCCATCTTGTGGGGGGGAGAAAATTTAAAACTCAAAATCTTATGGAAGTGGGGAGCCACTAGGAGGCACAGCGGACAGAGCACGAGCTCTGAAGTCAGGAGGACCTGAGTTCAAATCTGGCCTCAGACCAAACACTTGACACTTACTAGCTGTGTGACCCTAGGCGAGTCACTTAACCCCGATTGACCTAAAAAAAAAACTTAAGGAAGTGAGTGTTGAAAACTAAAAATAAATAAATTAATTATTTTTTAAAAATACAATTGGCCAAATGGAATAAAAAAAGTACACTGAAGAAATCAACTCCTTAAAAAATAGAATTGGCCAAATGGAAAGGGAGGCACAGAAACTAATAGAAGGAACAATTTGTTAAAAATTAGATTTGGGCAAGTAGAAGCTAATGACTCTATGAGATATCAAGAATCAGTCAAATAGAAACAAAAGAATGAAAAAATAGAAGAAAACATAAAATACCTCATTGGTAAAACAACTGACCTGGAAAACAGATCCAGGAGAGACAATTTTAAAATTATTGGTCTACCTGAAAACCATGATGAAAAAAAGAGCCTTGATAGCATCTTCCAGGAAATCATCAAGGAAAACTGCCCTGAGATACTAGAACCAGAAGGCAAAATAGTCATCAAAAGAATCCACTGATCAGCTTCTGAAAGAGATCCCAAATTGAAAACACCAAGAAATATTGTAGTCAAATTCCAAAATTACCAGGTCAAAGAGAAAATAGTGCAAGCAGCCAGAAAGAAACAATTTAAATATTATGCAACCACAGTCAGGATTGTGCAGGACCTTGCAGCTTCTACATTAAAAGATCAGAGGTGTAGAATATGATATTTCATAAAGCAAAGGAGCTTGGATTACAACCAAGGATCAACTCTCTAGTAAAATTCAACATAATCTTTCAGGGGAGCAGATGGACATTCAACGAAATAGGGGACTTCCAAACCTTCCTGATGAAAAGGCCAGAGCTCAACAGAAAATTTTATTTTCAATTACCAGATTCAAGAGAGGCATAAAAAGGTAAATAGGAAAGAAAAAACCAACAACGTGCTATTAATAAGGGCAAACTGCTTACATCCCTACAAGGGAAGATGACACTTGTAACTCTTGAGAACTGTATTGTTATTATGACATTTAAAGGGGGTATACACAGACAGAGTTGACTTTGATGTGATGATAAAAAAATCTAATTAAGTGGTGAAAAAGGATTGTTCTGGGAGAAGAAGCCAGGAGGAGGCAGACAAGGGTAAATTACATTATGTAAAAAGGCACAAAAACCTATTACAACAGAGAGAAAGAAGGGAGGAGATGAGCGCAGTTTGAATCTTACTCTCAGCAGATTTGGCTCAAAAAGGGAATAACATAATCAGTTAGGCATAGAAATCTAACTTACCATATAAGAAGTAGGAAGGGAAAGGAAAAAAGAAAAGGGAGGGAGCGGATAGAAGGGAGGGCAGACTGAGGAAGGTGGTGGTCGAAAGCAAAACTTTAGTGAGGAGAGAAAGGGAGAAAGAAGAGAGAAAAGCATAAACAGGGGGAGGGAAATAGGATGGAGAGAAGGACACAGATAGTAATCATAACTGTGAATGTGAATGAGATGAACTCTCCCATAAAACGTAAGCATAATCCTACAATATGATGTTTAAATACCTGGAAAGACTTACATGAACTGATGCTGAGTGAAATAAGCAAAACCAGGAGAACACTGTAAACAGTAACAGCCACATTGTTCAAGTTTCTGTGCCTCCTTTTCCATTTGGCCAATTTTACTTTTTCAGGAGTTGATTTCTTCAGTGATAGATTTAAGTCTTCTCAGCAATGCGAGGATCTAAGACATCTCCAAAAGATTCACGATGGAAAATGCTATCCACATCCAGACAAAGAACTTTGGAGTCCGAATGCAGATGGAAGCATACTATTTGCTCTCTTTTTATTGTTGTTCTTGTTTTGTTTTGTTTCTTCTTTCTCTGGTTCATCCTATTAGTTCTGAGTATTCTTTACATCATGACTAATGTGAAATTGTTTAATATGAATGTATAAGTAAAGCCTATATCAGATTGCACACTGTCTTGGTGAGAGGGGAGGAGAGGAAGGGGGAGAAAATTTAAAACTCAAAATCTTATGGAAGTGAATGTTGAAAACTAAAAATAAATTAATTAATTATTTAAAAAAAGAAGAAATATGAAAAAAACACTTCCACTCTACTCTTTTGAAGAGGTGAGAGGTCCACAGATATGAAACCTTGCATATATTTTCAAAGAATTAACAAATTTTACTAATTTTCTTTTCTTTTTTCTTCCTCATTCTTTTTTCCTCTTAAAAAAAATTAATCAAATGTCACTTCACACCTAGCAAATTGGCAAAGATGACAAAAGATAGGAATAGTCAATGCTGGAATGATTGTGGGATAATAGTAATAATGATAGCTAACATCTATATAGTACTTACTACATACCAGGCACAGGTTTATAATTATTATCTCATTTGATCTTCACAAAAACCTTGGGTAGTAGGTGATATTATATCTCCATTTTACAGATGATGAAACTGAGGCAAAAAGATTAAGTAACTCTATTCCCAGGGTCCCACAACTATCACCTCCTATGTATAATTGATATCATATTTCTTGCCTTCCCAGTGGGTGGGGGGAGGGGCTACAGGGAGGGAAAGAAATGTCAAATGTTAAAAATAAAGACAGAAAAAAGAAACAAATACTTTATTTTATGGGATGGCTCTCTAGGAGGGAGAAGGGGGAAATACAGGAGAAATTTAGGTGGTAAAAAATCAAAAATAACAAATTTTTTTTAAAAAATAGAATAAAAAAGTACATGAATTTACAAACATTTGACAGGCAGTCTTTGCAAATACCTCCCCCCCATGCTAACACACACACACACACACACACACACACCCCTTTTTTTTTTTAAGACAACTGGGGCTAAGTGACTTGCCCAGGGTCACACAACTAGTAAGTGTCAGAGGCTGAATTTGAATTGAGATCCTTCTGACTCCAGGGAAGGTACTCTATTCACTGTACCACCTAGCTGCCCCTTTTGCAATTCTTAATTGTGTCAAGCTATGTCCCCAAAAAGGCTCATTCTTAGGAACATAACAGAAAACTATCAAAGCAGAAGCTGCTCTTAGCCAGCCATTTTAAACTTAGACCAACCCTCATCCTGGAATGTCAACCCTGGGATCAGGTCCCCTGATCTGTCAGTCCTGGATCTGTTGACTCCAAACTAGTTAGGGATCCATAGAGCAGCCAGAATATGATAATATGTCTGCAGACATCTCTCTTTCTGCCAACTTGGGCTAGAAAAATGACTCACTGTGATTTTTTTAAAAATTGGATTTTCTGATAATAATTTGATCTACAATATTTTCTGGATCTGTTTGAAAGATTTGGAGGCAGAGGGAATGAGGTCACTGCCACCAAAACATCCATATACTTTGATCCAGAGATTCCATTACTAGAGTTATATATACCTCATAGAGGTAACTGATATGAAGATAGTAAGTCCTTCTAAAAAATGCAGAAAAGGACATTTTTTCAAAAGGATATATGGTGGTGTCCCTGAAAAGGACTGAGCAGATGAACGGTTTGGGTCATAAGAACAATATAATAACAATACTCAGGTGCTTTCCTCCTCTTCTTGTCCGCCCTTCAATACGTAAACACTGTTGATAAGTGATCATTCATCAGTGGTAGATGATCAGAATGCTGTGTTAGAATAAGAACTAGCAAAGGTCATAGACTTGGAATGATATTACAAATAGGCTAAGGGAACCATATACACTAAATTATTTGTAGGATTTTTGGCAGTAGCAAAAGTAGATGACCTGCTACTATACCACATCCACTCTCCAATGCTGCTATTTCTATAACACCTGGAATTGGGACTGGAGGACAGAGCAAAGAACTAGTCCCAAGGCCCCATTTAAAAAGGGCTCCCGGGCCAGGGAGCTCTTCAGTTCCCACCTCACCTTCCTCCTTTGGCTTAGACTCCCACCACACTGCAGAGGCAGGGTACCTTTCCCCTTCCCCTTTCATCTTCTTTTTGTGCCTTGTCTTCCTCCATTAAATTTTAAGCTTCTTCAGATCAGGGACTGTATTTCTTTTTCATATTAGTATCTGTAGTACTTAGCACAGTGACGATAACCTAGCAGGTGCTAGTAGCACCTAGTAGGTGCTAATAAGTATGTATTTATCGGGTGACTGACAGATCTCATTGTTAATAAGATCATTCGCCGGAAAGTCTGTTGTCACTGTGTCTCATGCAGCAGGTAGAACGGTAGTGGTGGCTACTTCGTAATTATGAATATTTAGCCAATGAGAAAAGCGCCAAAAAAACTAGCTTCTTTGTCCATATCAATCAATTTTTCATTGCTGACAGATACAAAGATTCTTTCATTCTCCCTCAGCTCAAACACTCCGCCTTGATAAATGGAATAGAGTCCATATTCGGAATCTTTAGACCAACAGCTAGTCTTTACGCTTTTCAAGAGTAGGATGGGTTCTGGGTAACTTGTCACTTTGTAAATGTACTGGACCAGTTGTTTGGGCTGTTTATTCCTCTTTTCACTCAAAGCTGAGGCAGAGCTTCCTTCCAGCTCCTGGAACCGAAAGTAGGTTTGGGAATAGATATAATAGTATCCAGTTTGAGGAATGATGAGCTCACCATCTGCCACATCCACATTATGGAGGAATGAATGTCCTTTCCTTGAAGATTCCCAGTAGTTGATTTTCCAACCCGAAGCTCTTCCAAGCAATGAACCTGAACAATTGAAAAGAGCAAGAGAGAAAAGCATTCATAGAAGCTGTTACTGGAGCACAAGCTGACAATTCATTAGCCCCAAGTACATTTTGTTATTAAGAATATGATAATAATAACTGACATTTACATATCACGTTAAGATTTGCCAAGTGCTTTATATATGTTATCTTATTTGATCCTCACGAAAAACTTTGTGTGGTACGGGCAGCTAGGTGGCGCAGTGGATAGAGCTCCAGCCTTGGAGTCAGGAAGACCTGAGTTCGAATCTGGCCTCAGACACTTGACACTTACTCCCTGTATGACCCTGGGCAAGTCACTTAACCCCAACTGCCTCACCAAAAAAAAAAAGGCAACCCCCCCCAACTTTGTGAGATAGTCACTATTATTAAACTCATTTGACAGTTGGGGAGACTGAGGCTGAGGAAAGTTAAGTGACCTCTTCAGGGTCACAAAGCTATTCAATATATAGAACAGGATTGGAATTCAGATCTTCCTGCCTCCAAGTCCAGCATGTCATTCATTATGCCATCTAGCCATCCAGATACCAACACTTTGCATCTGTCATAAAGTTTCCCAGCACTCTAATCTCGGGCCCTTAGAAATCAGTCTCCATGGCCTGGTCCAAAAGTCGGTTTTTCCAGATTTGGAAGCAACAATAAGAGAAATGATAAATTAAATGTAAGTGGAAGTGAGAATTCTGTACATCTTGTCAGTCATTTAGTCAATAAGCATTTATTAAGCACCTAGTATATGCCAGACACTGTGCCAAGCACTAAATATACAGAAGGAAGCAAAACACAGTCCCTGCCCTGAATGAGCTTACAATCCAGTCACGGGGGCAGACGGGACAAGCAAATAAAAAAGTACAAACAAGCTATATACAGAACAAATAGGAAATAGAAGACAGAAGGCACTATAATTAACAGGGGTTGGCAAAGGCTTCCTGGGTAAGGTGGGATTTTAGCTGGTTTTTGAAGGAAGCCAGGGAAGCCGTAGGTAAAGATGAGGGGGGAGAATGTTCCAGACATGGACAACAGCCAAAGGGAGAGTGGGGAGCCGTGAGATAGAGTGTGAACAGCCAGGGTCACAGGACCAAAGAGTACGAAGGAGGCAGCAAGCGTAAGAAGACCGGAAAGGTAAGGCATGGGAGGCCTGGGTTAGGAAAGGTTCGGAATGTCAAAAAGAAGTTTTGTATTTGATCCTGTATATAATAGAAAATCACTGGAGTTTAATGGGGGGCGGGGTGGGGACACGGAAGGACCTATGCTTTAGAAAAATCACTTTGGTAACTGAACGGAGGATGGGCCAGAGTGGAGAGAGACTTGAGACAGACAGATCCACCAGCAGCTGCTGCAATAGTTCAGGTGTGAGGTGATGAGGGCCTGCACCAGGTCGGGGTAGGGTTAGAGGAGAAGAGACACACTGAAGAAATGGAACAGAGGTGAATCAATAGGCTTAGGCATTGGATTAAATATGGAGGGGTGAGAGAATGTGAGGAGTGAAGAAAGGAAACCTAAGACGTGAGCCTGGGGAACTGGGAGGATGATATCGTCCTCGACAGTGACAGGGAAATTTAGAGCAGACAAGGATTTAAGGGAAAAGATAACGAGTTCAGTTCTGGACATGCTGAGTTTACTAAGGTAAGGTCAAAATAGGTACACCATTTAGACATAAAGGGTGATATAAGTAAATTAGGGGAGCATGGGAAAATTTTCCCCATCAGATCTATGGATAAGGGAAGACTTTATGACCAAGCAAGAGACTGAGAGGATCATGGTAGGTAAGATTACATGAAATTAAAAAAGGTTTTGTGCAAACAACAATACAGTCAAAAATTAAAAGGAAATCAGACAACTGGGGGAAATTTTTTTTACAGTGTTTCTCTAATAAAAGCTTCATTTCTCAAATATATAAGAACCTGAACCAAATTTATAAAAATAAAAGCCATTCCCTAATTGATAAATGGTCAAAGGATATGAACAGGCAGTTTTTAGAAGAAGAAATCAAAGCTATCTATAGTCACATGAAAAATGCTCTAAATCAATAATAATTAGAGAAATGATACACATTAAAACAACTCTGAGGTAACACCTTACACCCAGCAGACTGGCTGACATGACAGAAAAGGAAAATAACCAATGCTGGAGGAGAAGTTGAAAAATAGGCATGCAAATGCACTGTTGGTTGGAGTTGTGAACTGATCCAACCGTTCTAAGGAACACTTTGGAACTACACCCGAAGCACCATCAAACTGTATATCCTTTGATCTAGCAATACCACTCCTAGGTTTGTATCCTATAATGATCAAAAAAAAAAAAAAAAAAAAAAAAAAAGGAAAAGCACTTCTACATAAAAACTATTTCTAGCAGCTCTTTTGGTGGCGGCAAAGAATTGGAAATTAAGGGGATCCCCATCAATTGGGGAATGGCCAAGCAAGTTGTATTTTATGGTTGTGATGGAATACTATTGTGCTATAAGAAATGATGAAGGGAACGGATTCAGAAAAACCTGGAAAGTCTTATATGAACTGATGCAAAGTTAAGTGAGCAGAACCAGAAGAACACTGTACATAGTAACTACAATATTGTAACAATGATCAACTGTGAAAGACTTTGCCACTCTGATCAGCACAATGATCTAAGACAATTCCAAAAGATTCATAATGAAAAATGCTATCTATCTCCAGAGAGAGAACTGATGATCTCTAAGGGCAGATTGAAGCATATTTTTAAACTTCATATTTCTTGCTTTTTGTTTGGTTTTGTTTGCAACATGGCTAATATAGAAATACATTTTGCATGACTTCACATGTAAAACGAGTATCACAATGCTTGTCTTTTCAGTGACAGGGGGAGGGGAAGGAGGGAGAGATTTTATAATCCAAAGTTTCAAAAAATGAATGTCTAAACAAAACACATACAGAATAAATTGGAGGTAATCTCAGAGGAAAGGCACTATGATTAAGGAAGACCAGGAAAGGCTTCTTGTCAAAGGTGGGATTTAGCTGAGATTTGAAGAAAGACAGGAAGCTAAGAGGAAGAGATGAGGAGAAAGAGTATATTTACAGGCAAGGAGAACAGCCAGTGAACATGTCCAGTTGTGAGAACGAGTGTCTTGGGTGAAGTACAGCAAAGAGGCCAGTGTCAGAGGATTATAGAGTATAAGGAGAGGAGTCAGATCTAAGAAGGTGGGAAGGGCCACGTTATTAAAGGTGGGTTGTTGTTGTTTTGTTTTTTTAAAGCCCAATAGAAGGTTTTATATTTGATTCTGGAGGTTATAGGCAACCACTGGAGTTGATCAAACAGGGGAATGGCATGGTCAGACCCATATTTTTGGAAGATCACTTTGATAAGTGGGTAGAGAATGGACTGGAGTGGGAAGAGACTTGAGGAAAGAAGGCCAACCAGAAGACTATTTTTAATAGTCTAGGCATGAGGTGATGAGGACCTGCATCAGGGTTGATGGCAGTATTAGAGCAGGATGTTGAGGGGAGACATATAGGAGAGATCTTTCTAGAATGGCAACAGCTTGGGTGGAGTAAGAAATTGAGGTTGCATGCTTGAGTGACTGGGAGCATGGTGGTGCCCGAGCCAGCACAGTCAGGTTACAGAGAGAGAAAGGTTTGGGGAGAAAAAGAATGAATTGTTTTGGACATGCTGAGTTTAAGATGTATATGAGACATCCTAGTTTGAGATGTCCCAGAAACAGTTGAAGATGAAAGCTGAAGGACAAGTAAGAAGGAAAAATAGATCTGAGAATTAACTACATAGGAATGATCATTCAATTCATGGGAGCTGATAAAATTATTAAGTGAATTCGCATAAAGGGAGAAGAGAAAAAGTCCTAGAACAAAGCCTTAAGAGACATCCAACAGTTAGCAGGCACAGCCTGAGTAAAGATCAAGCAAAGGAGACTGAGAAGAAATGGTGCATGGAGACCAGCCAAGATGGCAGAGAAGCAGCTAGCCCCCACAACTATGGCACAAAGATCTAGAGAATGCATGGCTAAACACCCTGAGAAAGCTATCTACAATTGGTGCCTCTATTTCCTGTCCCCCCCCCCATTTCATAACTCTGCAATCTGGCTTCCAACTTCATCATTCAACCAAAATTGTTTGATCTAAAGTTACCCATGGTTTCTTAATCGCCCTATCTAATGACCTTTTCTCAAACTTCATTCTTCTTGACCTCTGCAGCCTTTGATGACCCTTTTCTCTTTGATGTGCTTCTTTCTACATTTTCTTGACACTTTCTCCCTGTTCTTCTCCTCCCTCTTATTAATAAATGCTTCTTGTCTGATTGAATGACTTCTCTGACCATCAGTCTCCTCTGCTTGTGTGTCATCTTCACCCATTACATTGCAAGCTCCTTGAGGGCAGTGACTGTCTTTGTTTTTATTATATTAATATCTTTAGCACAGTGCCTGTACCCAGTAGGCACTTAATAAATGTTGACTGACCAATCGTTTTTAAAAAGGAGGGAACAGAGGTATTGCACAGTATCTAACAGAGATAGATTGATCCTATGAAGCACCATACTGAATGTTAGAGACATAAAGAAAGGCAAAAACACTGTTTAAGACATTCGATGTACATCAATCAACAAACATTTATTAAGCAGTTACTACGTGGCAGGCACTGTGCTAGAAGCTGAGGATAAAAAGACAAAAGCAACATAATCCCTGCCCTCAAAGAGCTTACGTTCCCCTTTGGGAAGCTGACATACACAAAAATAAGTATATGTAAAATACAGGAACATGGATTGGACAGATGATTCCATCAGGACAGGAAACTCTGCTTCCAGTTCTGGCCAGCACCTCACAGCTGTGAGAACTCACTTTTAGAGTCATCTAGGGGCACCGAGACTATGTAACTCGCTTGGAGTCAACACAGCCAGGATGTGTCTGAAGTGGAACTTAAACCCAGGTCTTCTTGCTTCTAAGGCCAGCTCTCTTAACCCAATGTAATTCTGAGCAGGAAGACACTAGATAATTATAAACAAGGTTGACTGCACCCAGTGAAAGAGAAATCCAGACAAAGTAATCTGGGTTAATTGTAGAGGAAGAGGTCAGCTGGGGAGATCACAGAAGGCTACATAGAGGAGACTACATAGAAGGCTACATATCTTTTCAGGTATGACTCTAAGTAAAAATGGCTGGTTTTGAATATTGTCATTGCCTGGTACAATGCCTGCACATAGCAAGTGATTAACTAATACTTATTCATGGATTGATTGGTTGATGTGAATAGAAGGTCAGTGACCACAGACTGAGGTATTGCTAGAAATACAGATGAAAGTGGGGAAGAGGGAGCTTGGGGAAGCAGAAGAAAGAAAAAGCAGATTTTCATTGCTTGAAAAAATAGAATTTAGTTTTTTTAAATGAAATAAAATGGACATCTTTTTAAAAGAATGAAGTGCAAATAAGATCTATGCAGGATTCTCTCTATATTACAGTCCAATGTATGAAAAAATATAACTATGTAACTAACATATGGTATGTAAATATAAATATATAATAAATAATGTGTAAAGCTTTGCTCGTTTTTCAGGTTTGCCTTGAATAAGGGGAGCAAGTAAGCCACATCTTCCTACACCCAGCATGGACTGTCATGGAACTGGAAAAAGAAATATTCAGGAGATGTGTGCCCTTCAGGCACATACTTTGGTGTGTTTTGATTCAAACATTAGAATTGCCCTCCCTAACCACAATCTCCCACCCTTTACTTGCCCCATTGTCTCACTCTTGCGAATTCTCCTCTGCATCCTCAGCCTGCACAGTGCCAGCCTAGCACATAAGAAGCACTTCATCAATGCTCATTGATGACGATGATAAACTCATGCCCTTTCTACACTGCTGTTCTTCTAATCAATCACCCTGGCTCTCTCCCTGCTTCCCTCCTTTCAGTGTTGAACCTTTAATTAACCTTTTCAACAAGGTACTGGCTTCCATTCCAAGGTACTTGTATCCCCAGATTAGACAATCCTTGAATCTGGGTTATCCCTCCCCATCCCCTTCTCTATTTACTCCATCTCAGCAGTTCCTAAGTCACAAAACCGCATTGACTGAGTCTATTAAAAAGTCCATCAACCTGACCCTTGCTACTTTGGGGCTCTTTTATTAATCTCTGATTGATTCTTTATCATACCTCTGATGATAGGATCAGAAATTTGGAGCTTGAAGTCACCTCTCATGTGATTTGTCCAAACTCCCTCATTTTATAGTTGAAGAAAATCAGGGTCAGATGGTAGATGATTATCCTCAGGGTAATAAGTGATGGAACTCAGAGTTGAACGCAGGTCCTTTGATTCCAAACACAACACTTATATCCTCAAGGTCATTTTGCATTTCTCACTTATCTTTCAGTTAATGATTTGCCAGTTTCTGGCCATGCTACCTTCCCAATATCCCTCAACTTTGTCCCCTACTCTTGACTTATACTGCTACTAGCCTTGTTCAAGCATTCATCATCCTTCCTTTGGATTATTGCAATAGCCTTCTAAACGATCTTCCTACCTCAATTCCTGCTCTATTTAATCTATGCTTCATCTAGCCAAAATCATCCAAGGCCACACTCACAGGTCTGACCTGCTTAAAAACTACTTCTAGTGAACCTTTGTTTGAGTCATTTCAGTAGCGTCTCACTCTTCATGTCCCCATTTGGGATTTCCTTGGCAAATATACTGGAGTGGTTCTCCAGCTCATTTTACAGATAAGGAAACTGAGGCAAACAGGGTGAAGTGACTTGCCCAGGGTCACACAGCTAGTAAGTGTCTGAGGCCAGATTTGAACTCAGGAGTCTCCCTGACTCCAGGCCTGGCTCTCTGTCTACTGCACCACCTAGATTATCTAGGATAACATATGTTCTCCTTAGCCTGGGATTTCAGATTCTCCAGGGACAGACTCCAATTTAGCCTCATTTCACATGCCTCCCTTTCATACATTCTCTGTTCCAAGGTGCACTATTAGTTATTCACTGAGCTCTATCATCTTTGTGAATATGCAGGCTACCCTCCATGGCTAGAATACACTCCTTTCTCAGGTCCACCCACTGAAATTCTCTTTCTTAGAAAACAGCATCACTGAAGCATTTTTGAAACCTCCCAGAAGAAAAAAGTTCAGAAGGAAGCAGACATGAGGTTGAATTTATCATGTATTTTTTTAAAAGCAAGCTATATATAAGAGAGATTCATGTTTTCACTTACCCTCTTTTCCTGTTCAGCATTTTATATGGAAACGTCTCTATCACTTTATTTTATTAATGTTCATTAAATTCAGAATAAAAATAATTTTTAAAAAGGGTCCATCTTAGGACTGCTTTCCTCATCTCCCCTCCCACCCCCAAATCTGTTATCTTCCCCCTCAAATTTTCTCAGAGCTTTTCTTCTGGATCTTTGCTTTCTACTTTACACTGTGCTCATTTTGTATATTTATCCTAAGCCCTCCCCACTAGATTATCAGCTCCTTTCTTCTTTCTATCCCCATCTTAGCCCAGATCCTTGCAAACTGCTATCACTTAATATAACCAAATTGAGTTGAAATGAAAAAAAAATCACATGTTAGGTGATTGTCTTACTTCTAGAAAAGGTAGAACTCATCTGCCTGTTTCCAGTAAGATGAGCTGCTACTCTCTGGACAGCACTCTGATGAAACTTTTCTCTGGCTCCAGAAGGATTGTCCTGCCTCTTATCTAGAAGGAAAGAAAGAATGGTTAGTGCACTGGTCCAGCCACTGAAATTAACCTTAAAGTCAACAGATGCCAGTCAAGAAGATCTTAAAAACTAGACTATGTTTCCAAAGAGAGTCCCATCACTCAGTAAGGCATGAAGGAAGGTTGGGGGAGGGGAGGGAGAACAAGCATTTTTATTAACTGCCTACTGTGTGCTCAGAGCTTTTACAAATATTCTTTCATTTTATCCCCACAACAACCTGTTAAGGTAGAGATGCTATTATTATCTCCATTTTACAGTTGAGGAAACTGAGGCAGATAGAAACACAAAAAGTCCTCACCTCGTGGTGGACAATCTTTGAGTAATGACCCTCCCTAAACTTAGCTATGTTTGTCTTAGAACAACATTATCTGCCTGTACTCCCAGCCCTTCTGGCTTGAAGGGACCAACCAGGACCTAAAGCACCCAGATGTACCTGTAAGATCCAAGGGGACTTTCATGCCCATTGGAATAAAACTTTCAGAACTATTAAGTAACTCGTAATACCTCCCATTGTATCAGACGTTTGCACTAAATAGGCTGCGAGGTGATTGTGCAGTGGCTAGAACTTAGAACTTGGAGTCAGGAAGACCTGAGTTCAAATCCTACCTCAGAAACTTCCTTAGTTTTGTGACCCTAGGCAAATCACTTAAGCGCTCTCTCAGCCTCAGTTTCCTCATCTGTGAAATGGGGATAATAATAGCACCTGTATCCCATAGTTATTATGAAGATCAAATGAAATAAAATGTGTCAGTTACTTTGCAAATCTATATTACTAGCAATTTCTAAATATGTAGTTTCTTGTAACTAGCTTACATTACAATGATCTGGCTTGAAAATGCATTTCGGTGAAAGGAATTTTCTCACTGATCAGCTCTTTTTCCTGGGTGGTGTTCAGAAATTCCACTAGCCTTGGAGAGTTCCCTGGGGCACTGAGAGCTTAGGTGAATTACCTATGGTCATACATCAAGTGTGTGTCAGAGGCAGGGCCCAAATCCAGGTCTTTTTTATTCTAAAGGGCCTCCTATATCTGCTATGCCAAGTGTCCTCTCAGTTCCATGTTACCCCTCCCAAAATGTGTTTGGGAAATCAAGCAAGGTCTTTGAATGGCTAGTAAAAGACTTATGATGTCTATTACTAATTGAAGAATAATTTTAAAGAAAGAGCCATCCTCTCAAGTTTGAAAATATATATGAAGAATTCTTTTCTTTCCTTTTTTTTCTTTATTTTTCTTTGGGGTTTTTTTTTTGGTCTGTGTTTTCTTTCACAACACTGCTAATATGGAAATGTGTTTTGCATGACCACTCAAGTGTAATTGATGTCAAATTCCTTTCCTTTTAAAGGAGGAAGGAGGGGAAAGAAAGAGAATTTGGAACTCAAAATTTTTAAAAACGAATGTTAAAAATTCTTTTACATGTAATTGGAAAATATTTAATGAAATACATAAAAGCATATTAAAAATGAAAAAGAAAATAGATATGAAGTAGACAAGTCCATGGGAGGCAACTTGGGGACTCCATGGTTCGGGCGTCACACACTCAGATTCTTGTCTTAGGTGCAAGTGACCAGTCCCTCTGTCTGGACATCTGGGAAGCTCTTTCTTCCTCAATGGGAATTCCTTCCTTCTGCAGAAAAGGAGACTGTCCACTCATCAGATCCTTCCTGACTGAGATCAGGGCTAAATAAAACCTAAGAAGAAAACACCTGCAGCCACTCTGAGGTTCTATTTCCTCACCACTCTTTGGCCTAACTGCTCTTGCCTACACCCCCAGGAAGACAACATAAAGGAGAGCCCAGAAGCTCTATATGCAGACACACAATAGAGAAATGCTGCAGGCTTGGCTCCACCTCCTATGAAATAATCCAATGGTGACGGTGACCCGATGACTTAGTGGATAGAGGTCTGGCCTTGGAGACAAAAGCATCTAGATTCAAGTCTTGCATCTGGCGTGTATTTGTTCTGTGACCCTGGATAAGTTTGTTAAACCTTCAGGGTCCCAGGCAGCTCTTTGAGACTGCAAAGATTTTCCACAATGAGAATTTTCCACATTGATGAAATCAGAGGCTTGGACCAAAAAAATCAGAGCGACCAGAAAGATTCAGGAGGAGCCACAGTATAAATAAAAATGAAACAAGCTTTATGATGGAATCACAGAACTTCAGATTTGAAAGGTCATCTAATTCCAAATGTTCATTCAAAGGTCATTCGGTCCAACCGATAACTGAACAGCGAGGTGGAGTAGTGGATAGATTTGGAGTCAACAAACCTGAGCTAAAATCTTGCCTCACATTCTTCCCAGATGTGTGACTCCAGAAGTCACTCAACTAACCTTCTTCAGCCTCAGTTTTCTCATCTTTAAAATGAGAAAGTTGGACTCAATGGACTCCAAGGGCCTTCTATATCTATGATCCCATGACCTTATAAACAGAAATCTTCCCTCCAAAATTTCCCACAAGTGGCCACCCAGCTGCTGCTGAAGGAGAATCCACATGGCATCCCATGGACAATAGGAACAATGATGCTCATGAAGAATAATAAGATTATCACTATAACTCACATTTAGGTAGTGCTTGGAGATTTCCCAAGTGCTTCTTCTTCAGTGATCCCATCTGGGATTTGGTTGTGAAAGAATGATTGTCCCCATTAGAGATGCAGAGTGGGTTTGGCAGGGTCAGTGGAGTGGAGCTCTGGGATATGTCCAGGAAAGATGGGGCTCTAGGAGCCGGTGGGAAGGGGTTTACTTTGGAGAGGGATGGTAGAGGAAAAGGTTTGCCTATGAAGAAAGGGAAGCTGTTTATCAGATTAAGGGAGAGGGAAAGTAGCAGGGATTCAAGTGGATAGAAGCAGATTAAAAGAATGCCCACCATGTTAGAATACCAATGGTCAGACAACGTTTTTAAGTAAATAAAGAATTCCAATAAAAATTGTTTCTACCTTGACTTGCAGAATAATCCTTGTAGATTGTCAACAGTTCCTGCAAATTGGATCAAATAATTTTATTTAGAATTCGAGGCTGAGTTGTTTTGTTCACAGTTTGGTGAACCCAGTCCCTAACGCAGTGCCTGACAGCACGGCAGGAAGTGCTCGTGGACTGACTGACCTACCTTTCTAATCAGCTGCTGGAGCTGCCATTTGAACTGCAGGCATGGGAGGTCTACCTGCTCTGCATCACCACTGGGGTCACCCATCCTGGCTCCCAAGTATTCCTTTGTAAGACACACCAGACTGCTTTGAGAACTTGCATCTTGTAGCTGAGCCAACTGGGAAAGTTACATCACAACAACATTAGGAGCTATATTCCTGGATATCCTTTAGACAAAGCAACAGCAACTGGTTTCAGTTTCATAAATAAACTTTGCATGGTCCACACCCTATTCCTTCCCCCTGCAAGAAGAGAGACTGAGTTGAGAACTCCCAACTGATTCTTTTCCCAACCCCTTGCCCACTGCCCAGTTTCTACCATGTATAGAACATTCACCATCAGCTCAGGGCTGGCCCCTACATCCCCACCTTTCCTGGAGATAGCCCCAGAGTCCCACCACACTCTCCTTGATCACACAACTCTCTTTGTAGAAGGAAGAGCCCTCTTCTAAGTGTTGTTTCTCACCCCTCCCCCTCCATATTAGAATGGGAGCTCCTTGAGGGCAGGGAAGGTCTCTGTATTCTGTATCCTCAGAATATAGCACCGTAATCGGCAGATGATAAGTAAGTGTAGAATAAATGGTATTCCACTAGGCAAAATAAATCTCTGTCTCTAAGCCTGTATAACAGAGGGAAGAGAATCTGGGGTGGGCTAGCTTCTCACTCTCCCTGGGCTTTTATTTCCTTATCTATAAAATGAGGGGATTGGACCAGACTGCCTTGGCAGTCTCCCAGCTCTAGAACTCTGGTTCTAGAGTCAGCAAAACCTGAATTCAAATCCTTCCTCAAATACTGACTACCTTCCTTGGTCTCAGTTTCCTCAACTGTAAGATGAAGGAATTAGACTTGCTGGCCCCTACAGTCTCTGTAAATCTATAATCCTATGTTCCCTACAAACCAGAGGTGTTCAATAGATGGCTGGTACAATATGCTCTCTATCCCTTTAGAACAGAAGCTCCTTAAACACAGGGATTGTTCCAACTTTGTCCTCGAACCCCTAGACCCCAGCACATTACCTTGCACATAAAAGGACTTTAATAAATGTTGATTGATTGGTAAATGAGTGAATTCAAGTCATCATTAAGCAACTGGGTGATGCTTGGTGCAAATCCCACATCAGATGCTAACTTGCTGTGACCATGAACCTGCTACTTAACCTCAACGTGCCTCCAGCAGTGCCAACTGACTTACTGGTGCAGCGGAAAGAAGAGTGGCTCTGGGAATCAGAGGACATAGGTTCAAATCCTTCCCCTGATACTTTACCTCTTAAAACTCTGGGCAACTGTCTGAGGTTGTAAGTCACAAAGAAAGTATGTTGGGAGAATATTTTTTACTCCCTTCCACATTTTCCACTAGCCAACTACCTGACCTACCTGCAGATTTTCAAACATTAAACCTTTGAGCCTTTGCCCTGGCTGTGCTCTCCCTCCTCCTCACCTCTGCCTTTTGGTTTCTTCGGCTTCCTTCAAGACTCAGCTTAAATACCAACTTCTACAGGAGGTACTTCCCAGTGCCTAGCAGCTGCTGCTGCCTCTCCCTTTCATAATGCCTTCATCTACTATTATATATCTTGCATGTACCTAATTACTTATATTTTATGTCTCCCATTAGAATGTAAACTCCTTGGGGGCACGGATTGTTTTTCTTTTTCTTTCCTTTCCTTTTTTTTCCTTTTGGTTTCTGTAGTGCTTAGCATGGTGCTTGGCACGTGGTAAGCCCTTAATAAATGCTTGTTAACTACTACAAGCTCTCTATACCATCATGGCCCTGATCTCTATCCCACCAAAGGTTAAGTTGTTTTCTGGGATTCATTTCACATTCATTAGAAAAACCCTCATCCAGTATCTCCTGTGCTGGGTGCTGGGGACCTAAAGACAGAAACCTGAGTTTCTGCCCTGCAAGGTCTCCCCTCTTGGAACCCTGAGGGATCAGCTCTTGAGCCACCTCCCTCAAGAGGCTTTTCCTAAGGCCCCAGGCATTGGTGCTCCCCCTCCCCATCATCTTGGATTGATGTTGTATAAATCTTGCGCATTCTCTAGCTCTCCAATAAAGTAGACACTCTACCAGCGCACAGACAAATCCACTTTTAGATTTGTATCTCTGGTGTCCAGTGCTGTGCAGGCACATAGTAGGGTACTTATTGCTTGGTTGTTATGTGGTCCAAGTGATAGAGACCAGGTAGCAGCTGGACTGCCAGTCCCTAGGCATTAGCTCACATTATTCTGAAACACTGTTCATAGAAAGAGCTAGCATTTTACAACACTTTTAAGTTTGCAAATCACTTTCACAAATATTATTTCACTTGATCCTCATAACTACCCTGGAAGGTAGGTGTTGTTATTAGACGCATTTTGCAAATGAAGAAACTGAGGCAGATAGAAGTTAAGCCCAGAGGCCCACAGCAAGGAATAAATTGAAGCTGGATTTGAACTCAAGTCTTCTTGACTCCAGGTCCCTGGTGGTGCTGAGGTCTAGATGTTAGGGGTCCTGGAACCCCAACATCACGACACATGGGTCCTGTCCGAAAGAATTCAACCCAAGCCTTCTTTCAGCCAAAAACAAGGTTTATTGAAGATTCGACATATTAGCTAGACTCTTAAGGAATCTGAGCATCTGTGGGCTATTGGCTAGATTGTGAAACTCTGAGCAGTGGCTAGATTATAAGAACCCCAGCATCTTAATGGAGACAAGATGGACCTTATATACAGAAAGACTGTGGGAGAGATCTAGGAGTGGCCAAGTAGTTTGGGGTGACTGGAGTAGGGGGTCTAAGGAGATCAGGATGGGAGTGAACAGAACTCCTGGGACCTGGGCAATAATGGAGCCTAGCCAGGAATAAGTGTGGGAAATGGTCAGGGGCCATAGGGAGGTAAGACAATGGAAGGGAGATTGGGTGTAGACACAATGAAAGGCCAGTTGATGGGATTATAGCCTCAGGCAAATGCCAGAGATTTGGCCGAGTGGAAAAGTCCAGGGTTTTTCCTTTCTAGGGTCCAGATCCCAACCCCATCAGCGGGACTGCACTGCACCACCTAGATCTCTTTGTTTGGGTGAGTGGTTCAGCAGCCAGTATTTACCCAGGCTTGGGTAAAGATGGGGGGGGGGGGAGACAACTAGGGTGGGTCCAAAAGCCACAAAGTTCTGCACAGTGCAGAGATAAGAGCCGGGAGGGACCTCAGAGGTCATCTCAGACAGTACTCTCATTTTACAAAGTCCCCACTGTCATGCAGCTAATAGATGTGCAGGGCAGCATTGGAATCCAAGCCCTCAGACTCCAAATACCCGGAATCACCAGATAAGAAGTAGCAAAGTTGTCTAGACAAGTCCTCTTTTGCATGCTTTCAACAACCAACTGGGTTAGGAAGAGCTTTGCAACTCCCTCCTCCTTTTCCAATCTACTGCCACCTAGCAGTTGCCCCTCCCCTCTGAGACACACAGCTCAAAGATTTTCAGAAATCATCTTAGCAAGGCTGAGGGTGACAATTCAGTCTCCCAGGTGAGAGATGACTCTGAAGGTGCCCCAGTGCCCACCCTCAGCCCTGCCTCCGCCCACCCTCTACTTGGTCTGGGAGCCCAGGAAAGCCGGGGAGGGAAGTGGGGCGGGGAGCAGATGTTTGCTACCCGGCTGTATTCCAAGCTCCCTGCAAACAAACACAGGCTTCCCCACCCCACTGTACTGACCTGTTTCAGCTCATTAGTGAAGTAGAAGTAAGTGGCAGCAAAAAATAAGGCTTGGACCATCAGCGGGAAAAGGAAGAGCAGCCCACAGGCTTGGCTAGGGCTGGGGCCATCCCTGGAGATGATGGTCTTCAGGGACATAACGAGAGCAGACGCCAGCCAGCAGCTACAGCTACAGAGCGGGAGTACCTTGTTGCGAGCACTTCTAAGTGGGGAGGACTTGGGAACTGTTTACAACTTGCATTTGGGGAACGGGGGCGGGGCATCGTGTATGGGTGTGTTTTAAGGAAATCCTCTTGGGAAACCGAAACTACTTGTTTGGTCGAGTAAAAAGAGAAAAATCAAGAGGCTCCTTCTGGAAAGTTCCCCCGTGTTTTTACCAGAATGTAGACAGTCTTACAAAATTTTAAATCCTTAGGATTGAGGTTTGGGGTATTGTGGGTATGTGTGCGTCTCTCATGTGTTGCGTATATTATATATATAATTATATATTGTACACTTTGTATATTGTATGTATATATTATATATTGTATGTATTAAAAAAGGGGGGGGGCTGGGTGGCTTACTGCCTAGAAAGCTGGCGTTGGAGATAGGAAGACTTTTGCTTGACCACATTACAAATGGGAGGGCACATGGAAGGAGGGAGGGGAGGAAGAGAAGAGAAGGGAGTATGTGGTATGCCAGGGTCAAATCAGAGGGCTAACAATGAGGGGAAGGTAATCCATGTGGTCTCAAAAGGAAGAAAAGAGCCTATAGCATAGTGGGTGAGGAGGAGGAGAAGAAAGGATTCCAGGTGCAAATATATTTCCATATCAGTCATGTTAAAAAAAAAAAAGTAAGAAAAATAAATAATGTCAGAGGATGAGATGGGTAGACAAGAGTCCTAGAAGCAATGAACATGACTTGGATAGACTTCTGGAGACAATGGAGAATGGAAGGGCCTGGCATGCCATGGTCCATGGGGTCATGAAAAGTCAGACTCGACTGAATGACTGACCAACATCAGATTAATTTGTCAGCTCCTTGGAAAACACAGAGTGTATAACCCTGAGGAGACAAGTTAGATACAGGGTAAGTTTCAGTGAGTTTAAGGAAAAAGTAGGAAAAAAAACCCCTCATGATGAAACTTGGATAAGGAAGCCAAACCGGGCTGGTACATAAAATCTTAGAGCTGTAAGGGACCTTGGAAATTACCCAGCCCCTCTATTTTGCAGAAGAGGAAAGGGCCAGAGAAACTGAGTATCTTGCCCAACAAGTGGAGTAGACTGCCAGTATTCCAGGGGCAGTCCTACTCAGCCAGAGAGAAGCATAGCAGGTCAGCAGCAGGCTGAGGAGGCAAGCCCAGAGTCCACGATCAGGGACAGAGTCTGGAGCAGTCCCAAACAGGATGAGACACCCTAAGGAACCTGGAGGCAACTTGTTAAACCTTGCCAGGTCTGGAGCTGGTTCAGAAGTGCACCTCTGGCAAATGCAGCAGCTGGCTGTGCCCCAATCACGCCTGAAGGGAATTTCCGCATCTACGATTTGAAAACAACCAGCTACAACCAGCTATACCTCCGAGCAGCCTTTGAATTGGATTATTCTTACTCCAGGATGTTTACCAGAAGCAAAACCTAGCAAAAGCTTTGGCCAGGAGCTAAAGAGACTTTTAAAGGGGCAGGAAGAAGAAATGTATTTGGCCCCTGATGACTGGTGAAACCAGCCTCGGTTAGCTTCTCTTCCTGGGCTTAGAATAACAGATATAGAGCTGGAAATAACAGGAAAAGCATTGATTCCAGGAGTTCTTTACCTTCTTGTTTCCTGGACTCTGTCAGCAGTCTGGTGAAGCCTATGAATCCTTTCTCAAAATAATGTTTTCAAACGCATAAAATAAAATGCAGAAGATTACAAAAGAAAGCAAATATATTGAAGTAGTCATCAATTAAAAAAAAAAACAATAGCAACCACAGGGGGCTGAAGGGAAAGAGCCCTTGACAATCCAAGCCCCTTATTTTACAGAGGAAGAAACTGAGGCCCAGAGAGGGATAATAAATAGCTGACCTTCGAATCAGGACCATGGGGTTCAAATGCTGCCTCTGATACTTACTAGCTGTGTGGCCCTAGGCAAGTCATTTCATGTTCCTCTCCCGTAAAACTGGAAACAATAATACATGTTAAGATCCACCTTAAAGGATGGATGTGAAGATCAAACAGAACCATAAAGTGCTTTGCAAACCTCAGAGATAAAGTCAGGAAGAGGGTCTAGAGCCATAATTTCACTGCTATAGAGGGAACTCAGGTTGAAGAAGTTCCTTCCACCATGACAGGCCAGCACCTGTCTTAGACAGCTGCCTGCCTTGAAGAGATTTGTCTATTAAAGATTTATAAACCTTAAAGGGCTATAGATATGCTAGTTATTAGCTGAGGTCTTACAGGTAATAATAGCTAACATTTGCATAACACTTAAAGGTTTGCGGTGCACTTTATATATATTATAGCATTGCAGCAATCCTTTGAGGTAGGTGCTGCAATTATCCCATTTTTCAGATGAGTAAACTGAGGTTTAATGATTTGTTCGAGGTCACACTGCAGCTATTGTTTGATGTGGTATTTGAACCCAAGGCTTCCTTGTTGACAAGTACAGCATTTTATCTTCTACAGAAACTAAGTGGAAGAGGGAGGACTGCAAACCCAGGTCCTCTGCCTCATATTTCAGCCCCTTTTCTTCTCCAGCCTTCGTTGGCTTCTAACCTAAACGTTAACGGAATTTGGTTTCCAATCCCTGGGTGGCTGCTGAAACTGAGGCTGAAATGTCCGTGGCTGCTACAGAGCTCAGTGGCTAGAGCTCTGCTACATCCGTGGTCAGGACGAGTTCAGTTCCAGCCTCAAATACTTAGTTGGCTGTGCCACTCTGGACAAGTCCCAACCTGTTTGCCTCACTGGCTCTATCTGTAAAAACAAAACAAACAAAAACTGAGGGTGATAATAATAGTACCTACCCAACTCCGGGAATTATTGTGCAGACAAAACGAGATGATATTTTTAAAGTGCTTTGCAAACCTATAAGTAAATACAAATATAGAAACCTTTGCACACTGTAAATCTTAGCTAAACTCAGAGCCCATGCAGGAAATAAGACCTAAGACTCTTCCTCCCATGTCCTGCCAAGCTATCTGGAAGAGGAAATGTCTCTGGGGAGAAGGGAAAGAGTTGATTGATTGTCTTCCTGCCTATCTACAAAAATAAAGCCCCGCTCCTTAAAAACACAATTCTTCCAAACATTTCTACTTCCCAGAAAACAATGTGAGAGTGAATGGCGTTGTTCAGTTGTGCTGGATTCTTTGTGACCCCATTGGGGTTTTTTTGGCAAACATACTGGAGTGGCTTGCCATTTCCTTCTCCAGCTCATTTGACAGATGAGGAAACTGAGGCAAACAGGGTTAAGTGACTTGCCCAGGGTCATGCAGCTAGTAAGTGTCTGAGGCCAGATTTGAACTCAGCTCTTTCTTGACTCCAGACCCAGCACTCTCTATCAACTGAGCCACCTAGCTGCCTCCATTAACAATTAATAATAGCTAATGTTTATCTAGAGCTTACTATGCGGCAGGCTCTGTGCTAGGTACTTTACAAATATTATTTCATTTGATCCTCACAACAACCATGGGAGGTAGGTGTTATTATTATCTTCATTTTACATATGACAAACTGAGGTAGGCAGAGGTTAGTGACTTGCCCAAGGTTACAGTAAGTGTCTAGATCAAGTTTTTTGATTTTGGCTTTTTGGGGGGGGGGTGCACAACAATTGAAAATATCAGGATCAGCCTCACGAAGGAGATTGAATGGGCCGAGATAAAGGACTTCAGCTGGATTCCACAAGGCAAAGGAGAAGAGAGAGATCATCCCAGGGGTGATGTGGTCAGACCCATGCTAACTGTGTAGAAAATAGACTAGAGAGGGGAGAGATCAAAGGGAAGGAAAACAATTAGGAGGTTATTGGGATAGGCCAAATGAGAGATACTGAGAGCCTTAATGAGGGTGGTTGGGGTTTAAATGGAGAGGAGAGATGCAAGAGATGCTGGGCAAGTATAGTCAATAAGAATTGGCAACTGAGGGGGCATGGCTAGAGACAGAAGGTAGTAGACACTACTGCTGAAGGCAGAGAGGAGGCATGCCTAGATCTGCATTTTATGAAGATTATTTTTACTAGTTGTGTGACCCTGGGCAAGTCACTTAACCCCCACTGCCTAGCAAAAAAAACGGAAAAGATTATTTTGAAACTCTTTAGAGCTGGGTAATGTCAATATTTCCATTGTATTGTTGTTCAGTTGTTTTTCAGTCTTGTTGGACTCTTTGTGACACCATTTGGGCTTTCCCTGGCAGAGATACTGGAATGGTTTGCCATTTCCTTTTCCAGTTCATGTTACAGATGAGGAAACTGAAGCAAACAGGGTTAAGTGACTCGACCAGTGTCACACAGCCAGTAAGTGTCTAAGACCAGATTTATCTCAGCAAGATGAGTCGTCCTGACTCTAGACCTGGTACTCTATCCATGAGCAATATTTTCCATAGCATTTGAAAAATACTACCCTCCTTCCTAGTCTCCCTTTCCTGCCCCTCTCCATCTTGAGTTACTTAATTCATGGAAAGCATAAGGCTCTCTGTTTAATTGGAGAAATGAGTTGAACTTGGAGTTACAAGATATGAGTTCAAAATCCAGCTTTGCTACCTACTACTTATGTGACATTTGGTAGTTTCTTAAACCTTGTTGTTTGTTTATCAGTTTCTATAAAATTAAGGAAATGGTTCAGACTAAATGATCTCTTAGGTCTTTTTCAGGAGCAGATTTATTAACTTCCCCTCCATAGTTATCTTCCATTTGTTTCATATGTACTTTTTTTCTATATGTTCTCTCCCCTATTAAACCCCTGGAGAACAGGGTCTATTTTTGTCTTTGCACACCTAGCACTCAGCACAGTACCTGATGCATTGAAAGCAATTATTAAATCCTTATTAATTGACTGATTGCTAAAGAATATACCCATGAGCTGGAAAAGGAAATGGCAAACCACTGCAGTATCTTTGCCAAGAAAACCCCAAAATGGGGTCATGGAAAGCAGGATGTAACTGAAATGACTGAATAGCAACACCAATAAATGCCCATCTATTGGATAATTAGTTCTATGTCTGTGGCACAGGTCTTTCAGAGTACACCTAGATCCTCCATGGAAGAGCTGAAATCCACTCAACCCTCCCAGAGGTCCTCTGGACTAGG